GGTATAACATGAAGAATAAGAAGAAATGTAGAAGCTGCAGATGTCGATCTTTTGAGAATTCCAGGAGTAGAAAGTAAGTCAGTGTGGTTTCATTATCCATGTTTAAATTATAACCAAGATAAATGCTGCATCTGTGAGGAATCAAGCTGAAATATACCATTAGATTAAAACAGTGAAGCTATGCCTTGATACATACTGGGGAAAAAAAAGAAAACTAAAAAACAAATGTATGAATGTATTTGGTTTTACTGTATTTTTATACTGTGTTTATTCTATTTTAACTAATATTTAGTTGTTGATTTTATTTTAAACCACCCACAGTTAATTCCTCATGGGTGGTGTCTAAATTTGAAATATATATATATATTTCATTATATATATATAAATAAAGTGACATGTACTAAAAGAGGACTACATGATTGAAAGAATGTCTATGTCCAATTGGAGCGCTCCCCATATATTTCAATCTATTGCTTACTAAAGAACCAACCAGGAACACTTTTCTTTTTTTCCCCCTTCCCCCTTCTCCCATCCTGATCCTTTTCATTGTTGTATTGGTTAAAATGATTACCTAGAATTTGGAAGAGCTTTCCAAGTCCATCTTTAGCCATGGAATTGCACTGGGAGAATTTAGACCATCCAGATTCTCAGCACTTTGATAGGATTGTGTTGTTGGTGAAAAATTGGAAGAAAGTGCTACATATAGTGTCTTGATCATCTGGAGGAAAGACAGGAAACAAAACTGTGAAACTCATATGCAAATTTTTACAGTAGTGTTTGGGACCAGAATCTCTGTAATGCGTGAAAGTGTGTAATGCACATACACATACACATACAGAGAGGCAGAACTGTTTTATGAGATGCTCTGGGGGATATTTGGATTGAAAAATAAGATAATAATGCTTCAAAGAAACAAATAAACAGCCAAACAAATAAATATTGGCTGAGTAGTCTTTTACCTAAAGACATACACATTTAAAGAAGGAAAATTTGAACTTAAGATATCCATTACATCATTTGCTCCTCCTCTCTTTTAAACCGTTTCACAATTTGACTCAAAGTTTGCTGAACACTATGGTCGTGCAAAGAAGATTTTAAAAATTGTTTGCAGTGTTTAGTTGTCTTTTTAATCCAGAACTGCTATCCTTAAGCTTTAGAAGTCCCAGAAGAGACCCCACTTTGAAGAAAAGCAGAGTGCCTTCCGACTCTGCATTAACCATTATTCAAAATAAAAAAAAATACTTCGGGCACCAAGGGAAGAGGGACACCACAGTTTTTCTCCCCTAGCATGCTTTGATCTCTTCCATGGTCACACTTGGCTTTAGTTTTGAATAGTGCAATTAGATTACATTTTTTCCCTGATAATAATTTTATTAAAGAATGCATAAAACTGTGTTGAACATTTTCATTTTTCTATTGCCCTAGTTATAAGTAAATAAGTTGTTTATATTGCTTACTGTTCTTTAGTGTTAAATAATATTAATAATAATAATAATAATAGTTGTTGTTGTTGTTGTTGTTATTATTATTATTATTATTATTATTATTATTATTATTTTAAATCAGATTTTATATAGTTGTGGGGTCCAGATGAGGGATGCCCTGGAAGAAAGCTGAGTTTTTAATCTATTATTTCCCTTGCAGTAACGTATTGAATCGTAATTTCTTCTCAGTTAAGCAATGGATGGACCAAAGGAGAGTGTTGCTGGACTGCGCTTATGTTACCAGTTGGCCTTAATCTAACCCTGATGCCTCCAATAGTCCCTTCAGTGAAGTCCAGTGTACTATATCCTAGAAGCTACAGGAAATAAAAATAATATTAAAAGGGACTTGTTCCATGTCAAAGTAAGATTGGGCAGACATTCTCCCTCAACTTTTCCCATTTGCATTGTTGATTGCTGTGACGTTAAATATTATCCATGCTGTATTCCCCATAAATTTTCTACTGCTTACTACGTTTATCTTTATATCACTTATCTCATATATTAGTGAACAGATAATTTGATTATTTATTTATTATAATTTCATTTTGCAGTTCTGGAATGCACGAGCCAATTTAATAATGTAGAGTGTACAAATGACAAAAGAATTGCTGTTCAGGCAGACTCCAGTTCATAATGCAAGATTATAACTCATCTCCATATTCACCAGGTGCTATTTAAAAATATATGGTGAAAGTACATTCTAGCAGGACAAATGAGGAATAAGGAAGCTATATTAATAAGTCCCCTCTCCAAATTAACTGGAAGGTGCAGCTAGGATTAAGTTGGCTTTCTCCCACTCTCTGTCTTCAGTCTTTCCAAGTATCACACAAAGTTTCTAAAGCATCCATTCAGACTTTACCCTCTTCTTTACGTGGCTCCTGCTTAGCTCACTACACTTTGATCTATGTGGCCAGACCTATCCACCCCACCACACATTAGCAGCTTCTTTGTCGTAAAAGTAGGAGGAGACAAAATTATCCAGTTAAGATTTCTCAGATTGAATGTTAAGAAAAATTTCTAACAGTAAGAACAGCTTGATGGGGGACGAATAACCGAAGAATGTGATGATTTGTCTTCATTGGATGTCTTCATGAAGAATCTGGACATCCATCTATCAAAGATACTTTAACTTGGATCTATTCACTGAGTGGGGAATTGTATTTTATAGTCTCAATCACTTCCTCCATTCTATGATAGGTTTTGGTAATACTTTGTCATCACTCATAGTTTTCTCCTAGTTTCTTATTATATTTTAGTGTAGTTAATACAATAATATGCCACAGTAATGGTGTATTCAGATAGATCTTTCCACTGATTGATAAGTGCAGTGTTGGAGGTACAGTTTCTTGAAATTTTTCATACACATCATATCATTCTATAATTCAGTATAGAAGCTAATTGAAAGCTAACTTGAAAAACAGTTGAATTTTCCCACCAAATAATATGGGACTGTTTGTCCCACCTTTTTCACTACAATATAAACACACCCTAAACTAACAATGAAGTGTTAATGTTCAGCACCCTTTTAAAGTATGTGAATCAAACATTTAACCAGATTTTTTTTTTAAAAAAACCTCATATGTGCAGATGGACCTAGAAATGATGTTAGGAATGCTAAGTTCAGCAATTAGTGATCAGGTCACCCAATGGAGGCTAAATTTGTGCAAACTGTAAAATATCTCTATTTTTAATATCCAGTCTGGAAGATATGCCATCATGTTAAGTATGCACTTGTTTTTTTTATTTATGAAGCATAGGTACCACCCTGTCCCCTGCAATAAATTTTCATTATTCTGATTCATAAGACCTTTAACCTACCTTTTATAGTCTAATTTCTGAAAATAAATTTGTCCTTGTTATCCTCACGACCCTAAACCCTTTTTCTATTATAGGGATACACTAGTTTCTAATTTCATTTCATTAAATCCTCTCCCTAATGTCAAAAGTATAGAAGTTAGTCTAATACAAATTCAAGTCATGGATGTGTAAGGCCAAGTTGCCCCAGATACCTGGAAATGGCTTTTCAATGGATATACAAATCACTTACAATTTTTCTTCACAGAGTTATTCTCTCTGTTGATGTCTGTTCTTTAGAATGTTCAATATTGGTCCAGTAATAGTTAAATGCTATTCTTGATCAGTCATGAAAAAGATGCATCATCAGTGGGAACCTTTAACTTTATATTTGGAAAGCTTAATTATACATTGATTTTACATCAGGCAATCATTTTGTTTCCCTCTAGACTATACAATGAAAACTAGCAAAATATTATAATGAGCTTCTGTACTTTTAACAAAATTAGCAATTAGCAGCTACTGCTTTCCATGTTCAAATGAGGATTAAGTGAGAAGACTTTCATGACAGATATTTTATAGCAGGTCTCATCACCTGGGATTCAATTTTACATCCCAGTTTGAAGTGATTCCATGCTCCATCTCAAAGCTATCTAAGCTGTGGCCTATCTTGTGATAGCTATGAGTTCTGTTAATTGGTTATGAATAACATCAATAAGTTCTTTAAGCATGAATTCTGGGTTTTCTATCCACTTCATTGAATGTCCCCAATCTGCAGTGTTAGTATTTCTGTCATTGCTGAGAACCAGAACGCTATGTAGTATTCAAAATGGGCCTGCAGCATGAAGTAGATTAGGAGTCCCCAAGTTTCTGGGTCATGCAGGAATTTTTGCAGCTTTATGTTAATGCTTATTTATCAGCAGATAAATGTTTGACTTTGGTTCTGGGTACTCTTTCTAGTTGTATTCTGTAGGGAATCCCCCGTTGCCCACCATTTTTATTTTCTAAAAATGCTTATGAGATCTTATGCTCATAATACTTATACAGTGGTACCTCAGGATATGAACTTAATCCGTTCCGTGACTCTGGACGTATCCCGAGTTGGTCGTAACCTGAAATGTTCGTTAGTAGAGGCGTTCGTAACCCGAGGTACCACTGTATATGTATAATCTTATACATATTAAATATTTCTGGTTCTAGAAATTGCTTTTTTTCATTCAATTGTCTTTATTCAAGTATTTGTTTATTGGTAAGCAAAGCATTTTGTTAAAATAAATGAAGTCAAATAGAACAGGGAGCTTGGCAAATACTCATCCACCCCAGAATAAGTCAGAATTGAGAAAGCCAAAACTATCAATGATTGTTCTTGATGCTTGCTCCAGGTTGGAAAAAAAGTGCTACAGAATACTTGATTATGGGTTTATTCTCACAATCCTCATACTGTGGCACCTTTATAAAAGGTTTTCAAAAGTCATCTCCTTATGACAGGTGGAAAGATTTCATCATCCTTGACAAGCTTTTGGAAGTATCTTTTGGTGACAAATCTGAGTTTATAGCTTTGGATGTCCACTTCTGCATCCCATTTAATACAGAAGAACCATTAGCATTCAATGGATTTCCCCCTTTTAGGAATTTTGTGAAACTTTGTTTTATTCCTGTGAAGAGATTAAATCACTTTTCTATTAGCTTGTAGCAACACATTTTATGTATGTGTGTTTGTGTCTTTATGTGTGTGTGTGTGTATGTGTTTGTGGCACCCCTTCAATTTGTTGCTTTGTGGAAGAAATTAATGGGTTTTCTTCTCTGTCTGACAGTATAAAACCTTTAGGTGGTACCATCCTATCGTGCCTGACTGAGAGCTGTTCTACTGGCTCAAACGCCACTCTCCTCTTGTTCGGGTTGCTGTGCCACCATTTCTGCCCCTTGTTCTTTATAGTCTTTTCTTTATGTAGAGAGGCCAAAACCTATATTGAAAAGCCATTAATAAAGATCAGGAAATATAAATTCATTCCTGCAATTAAGGTTAAAGGTTGTAAGAAAATTTAAAAGAAGGCTGCAAATGTGTTAGAGCCAACCTCTATGAAAGAGCACTCAAGAAGCCATTCTCTGGAAGCTACAGAGAGCTGTTCACACACACAAACAGCCAGACAAACAGCCACACTCACATACACACCATTTATATGGCTGCCTACCTCACCAATGCAACTCTGGTTGACAAATAGATCTAAAATACAATATATATTTTAAAAATACAATAAAAATACCGTTCCCAACCAGCTAACAGAAAGTGGCTCCCAAAACACCATTCATCAAGTGTTTTTTAAAAAAAACATAATGGTGACCCTTTTTCATATATCACCCAAGATCTACTATCTTTGGGGAAAAAAAATTAGAAACATTTACTTCAGTCCAAGAAGAGGTAGAAAATCATGGCAACTACTGATTTTGCCTCTCCCAAAATATATTCCAAACGTGGTGTGACATCATAAGGTTGGTGTAATGAAAACTGGAAGCCATATTTGGATATGCATTTTCTATTATTGGTTAAAGGTTTTTTTCCCCTTGTAGGCTTAACGCCTCTCATTTTAAGTAATGACTTGGGTTTATGCTTAATGCAGTTCTGATGATGGGTCAGAGGCAGCCTTAAACAGCATGTCAAGGATTTGGAAGTCCAATTAGGTCTGGGCACTATATCCAGAGATGAGTTCTTGGGCAGTCATTCACCTTTTTTCAAACTGGGTGGGTATCAAAGCCAAATATCAATTCCCAAGTTCAGGACAGCCTTAACTCTGGTACCATTGAGGCCCTCACAGCAGCTGTTTTTGCAGAAAAAGTACGAGGTATTGCGGGTTAATGACACTGAAAGTTGCCGGCCAGAAATGGTCGACACTTCAGTGGTTCGAGTCCAGCCTTTGCGTTAACAGGGTGAGCTCCTGTTTCCTTCCCAGTTCCTGTCAACCCAACAGTTCGAAAAC